ATCTTACTTATTGTAAAAATCATTATTGTTATACAAATAAAAATCTGACTTTTTGCGTAACTGCTATTTGGTTATACAATTTCAAACATATGACTTATTAAGAAATTACATAGTAAGTTTATACAAAATTGGATTCCAGTATTATATGTATTCTTCGGGGTCCTACGAGGACCATCACTATTACAAGATTGGTCACCTTTAGTAATAATAATGGTATTGTCCTATGCATTCCCTTTATGGTATTTAGCCAATGATTCTATAAATTGTACTTGATGTTTGTAAGAGTCTCTTCGCACTGATATCAGGTGTTACAAACCATAAGATTGTTGTTATATTCTGAATATTCGACTCCATCATCTTAAGAAAAATCAAATGCACATACAGTCTTTTCATCTTTCTTTTCTTCATTAGTATCGTTAAACCTAGGCATATCAATGTAGAAGTCTCCTTTAATATTATGAATTATAATTTCATCAGTTTCAGATTTTGATGTATCTTCAACTTTCGCATTCGCATCAAAAATATTTGCTGTAAAGCTTTTTTCATTTCCTGTATCTCCATTATTATATGGTACCAGCCTATCGATGAAAATAATGTGAAAAATTCAAAGATAGCCGATTTATAAAGTACAACAAATTAAAATCTGGACTTTTTGGTTGAACAATATTTTCTTTTTTTTAATTGTATGGACATCTGTTAGATTTATTAGGTCAATTCAATGTGATACAATTTTGGTAAGTTTTAAATTTTTTATGAAAACTGCATTGATCGGCATCGATGTAAGAAATCTGTGAATATGAACAGATGAAAAGAATTAAAAATTCTAAATGATATTGTTCTGGAGTTTATTAAAATTCTAGATCAACCAGGACCCCAAAATATATAAAAAGGTAAACTGACCTTTGAACTTTTTACTAATAGCTATACGCAAGAGTTTTCTATAAGTTTAGTACGCAAAATTACCTCCTTACTTTGGATAATTGGAAAAAATACGCAAATTAATTTTCTAACCACTGATAATCATGTGATTTACATATTGTTTTGTTGATCAAACTTCACGTTTATCGAATTATTTTTTTAAAAAAATTTAATAACACTAGTCGAAATAAGAAAAATTGGCAATCAACCATGCTGGCCAAATTTCGGTAATGCAGGCCGAAGTTTCGGTAAAGTTCCAGCCTGCATTAAAAACTGAGTGAAAATCGACCAAAATTAGGTTTGCCAATTTATCACCTATTTCCGGTCTTAAGAACCGTTTAAAATTCGCCAATCACCTAATTGTTAAAAAAAAATTGCTGAACACTGGTCATTATTAAAAATTGGCCATTATATCAGGAAATTTTTTTAAGGGATAAATATCGATATCATACCAAATATAAAATTATGTATTACGCGTATCAGCCATATCATACGTCAGTTGCGTCACGTATTCATGTATTTTAACTTTTTTAAACTTTTTTTTAATGAAACTTCCCTTCTTCTCTTTCGTTTTTCCCTTTTCCCATTTTTTCGTTTTTCCCCTTTCTCTCCCTTTCTTTCGTTTTCCTTTTTCCCTCTCTCTTTCGTTTCCTCCTCTTTTTAAATCTTCCCTTCACCTAAATTAAACGTTTTCTAGAAGTAAAAAAACTATAAATTTATCTTTTAGGTTACGTTTTCATTTCAGCGGATCTCTTGTGGAAATGTAATTCATTTCGGCCGTCGGACGCTTGGAAATTCAGGTTTCTTTTTAGACGGCCAAAAACAATGTTGAAATTCAGTTTTCTCTGAATATTTCTTTGACGAAACGTATATTAACGTTTTGTTTTCTATCTTTTTTTCAGACGATTTCTTCAAATATCTCAGGGGATTTATTCGCACATGCACTATCCTTTAACAAACCAACGATTACGCCCAAAACCTTCCTCACACCCTTATCATAATAATAAAAGATTCTTTAATTTATTCAGTTAAGTTCTTTTAATAATAATTATTTCCAAGAAAGCTTTAAAAATGTAGATTAATTTTTATTATTTATTAATTGATTATAGATCATTTATCAGATCAAATAATTAGATCAGATCTTTTCATAAATAACGAATCATAGGAGTAGCTACAAAGTATGATACTCCTCCATCCCTTTTCAAAGCATTATCGGTTAAATTGATTGTGTGGCCACTTACTGCATCTTGATATGACTCCGAGAGTGTACAGTAAGAAGTGCCAGTCTTGGCCAGCCATAGATTTAATTAAAAGTAACCTCACTTCTCTTTCTTCCTCTTGTTCGTCTTATGCACGCGCTTTCGAGCTGGTTGATATTCTGTGCGAAACCTAGAAAAGAAATCACGGGTATTAATTCAATGTACAACACTATCGCTATTATTTCAGCAAGAATATCTTTCTGCACATTTCAGGTGATTGATACACCATACAATATGTCACTTCACAGGTAAAAAATGGGCGAGGGTTTAACTTGGGATAGTGTTTATGATAGAATATTGCCACAAAGCAGAATGTGGTTGAGATTTTTTAGCTTAAAAGCGTCATATGCAGACTTTTTTGAACTGCAGATGTCATCCGTGTGGTTATGCTGTAGCCAAGCTTGAGTGAGAGGCCAGTGGATCTGGTCGACCTTGAAATTATCGAATAGTGACCGTAAAGTATGATTATTTAAAAAATCACTGAAGGTACAACAATCAGTGATGTCTTAGAGAATTGGCATATGTCACGATCAATAGGACCTAACGAGGACCATAAAGGTGACATCAGACTATTAGGTAAATACGTCGGATTGAGCTCTATTGGAGCGAGAAAGAATTTATTACCTAAATTTCGAAAAAAAAATGTGAACTTCATTTCTTTGTCTTTTTTAATAATGAATTACTTTGTTATGCGTTTTTACTTTAGGCGCGTGGAATTCTGATGGTAATATTAGAAGGTTTGTTTTTTGTAATTTTATTTTTTATTAATTTAATGAACTTTACTAACAGTTCGTTTTTTTTATTTTGTAGGCGAGTCAGTTCTTTGGATTTCGAAAGGTGATTATTGTTTTTTAGAAGAAAAACATCTTTTTTAATGAAATGATCTTAACATTTCGTTAATTTTCTTTTTTTTCAGATGGTCAGCACTTCGGATCTTCAGAGATGGATTTCGGTAAGGATGGAGGAGTGTTGTTAATGAGCTATTGTTTCTATCGAAACGTTTTCTAACGTTTCATTTTTTTATTCCTTTTTGTAGGTTTGGATTTTTGTGAATGAGCGATACTACTGGAAATAAAGACGGTAAGTTTTGCAACGCTTAATTCTTACTTTTTTTAAATAGAAACGTCTAACATTCTTTTGTTTCTTTTTTAGGTTTCGGCTTCGAATTTTAGCGTTAGATATGGTAAGTTTCGAATTTGCAAATTCGAAACTTAATTTTTTTAACGAAACATAACTAACGTTTCATGTTCTTTTTTTTGTAGGGTTTTCCGGTATCCGGTATTTTGGAAATTAAGTTTCGAAGTTGTAACTTCGAAACATTTTCTAATTTTTTTTCTTAGAAACATTTTTTAACGTTTCTTTTTTTGTAAATTTCAGTTTCGAAATATCGAACATGCCGAAATGGTAAGTTTCGCAACGAAACATTGCAAAACATAATTTAATTTATTTTATTTTATTTGTTAATAAAAACGTTTTCTAACGTTTCTTTTTCTTTTCTTGTAGGGTTCTTGAGGATTTGCTGGATCGGATATCATTGGAATGTGGAAATGGTAAGTTTCGTTATGAAACTTATCGTTTTTTTTATGATTTCAAAGGGAAACTAAGATTTGTTACGAATCTTTAACAAATCTTAGATTTTTTTTAATATTATAGAACGGTTTACTAACCGTTTTAATTCTTTTTTTTTATAGGTTTCAGATAGTTTCTGAAGAACGGAAAGAACTAAGATTTGTAAGTATTATATTACGAATCTTAGATTTTTTTTTTAATTTATGGAACAGTTTACTAACTGTTCTTGTTTTTTTTATAGTTTCAGGTGGGTTTCTGAAGAACAGGAAAGAACAAAAGGTTCATAAGTATTACGGATCTTAGTTTTTTGTTTTTTTTTAATCTTATGGGATGGTATACTAACCGTTCTTATTATTTTTATAGGTTTCAGATAGTTTTTGAAGAATATCTTTGTTTACAATTTCGAAATATTACTTTCTTTTATTTATTTTAAATATGTATATTTATATTTTTTAAATAAAATTAATAAGTCTAAATAAATTAAATAAATGATAAATTAATTAATTAAATATAAAATGCTAAATTAAATAAATAGGAATCGATAAATAAAAAAATTGATAAATTTTGTCAAAAAATAAAAAATCGATTGTTTGCTGTTTTTTTTAGAAACTGTCAATGATTTTTTTGGTAATGATCAGAATTTAGACCAACTTTCATCCTACATTCGTCAATTTGAAATTTGGACAAAATGGAATATTCTGACTAGTGAAAGTTTGACGAATAGTTCTATTTTTGATGTTTTAATGAATTTTTGCCAATTTGTGATTGCCAAGTGGCAGGCGAACTGTGCAAATCGCCTATTATCATTTTGACGATTTTTTTGGTAATGATCGGCCAAATTTAGACCAACTTTCGTCCAACATTCGTCAATTTGAAATTTGGACGAAATGGAATATTCTGATCAGTGTAACTTTATATGTCACATAATTATATAAATGTATTTATTAATGCACAAGCATTACACATTTTTTTGTACCAAATAAAGTTTTTTTCCATTAATAGTTATTTATATTTATTTTTATTTATTTCAATGAAATATGTGTATATACAGTATATATAAAAATACGCAAAATAAACCCTTACTTAAGCAAAAAATCTGTTAAATATATGCATTTTAATAGTCTGACTGTGGCTAAAAAATCCTCAGGTTGTACACAAATCAATACTTAACTCCATAAAATTTCTCTATGCAATTATGCATTTTACCCCTACATATACTGTATATTTCGGGATCCTGATCAACCATCGTTAATACTGATAGGGAAAAAACGTATATGGGAATTACTGAGAGGAGCTTATATAATGTTAAAATACTAAAAAAATTATACCATTTGATAATTTCAATTTTAATTGAATGGATTTTTGATCAGGTTTTGGATTGATATTTATTAGATGGTGAATTGATTTTGTGATCAGTGGCTGGCTCACAATAAAATATTAAATTATTGTTATTTTATAATTTTATAATCATCAGAATAAAAGCAAGATATTATATTATCCAAACTAGTATTTCCATAAATATATAGGTTACAAAACAATTTGTTACCGCAATAGTCACATTTTCTTAATTTAATTAATATTAATATGTGAAAAATATGTCTACAAAAACACTACAAGAAAATTTTCTATGAAAACTATGATAAAAATTTAGTTATGGGGCAGCTTTCTTATACTTTTTTTACATGTCCAATATATTATTAGTTTAGATGAGCCAGTTTCTTTTTTTTCTCATTTACAAAAGTACTAATGTGAAATTTAATTAGAAAAAATATTATCATTCTTGTGACTTGTTACTTGTGTTGTTAAGACAGACTTGAATACACAGGTAATGTTTATGTCGCACCTGTCATTATGTGCAATGGTAATAAATAATCGATTTTTGATTAATATTATATGATGCATCTTACGCGTGCAAATGCCGTTAAAGTTTTTTCTTTATAATTTTTGAATAAAGCGAAAGCTTATATCTTTTTTCAATCATATAAAATAGTTCCTTTTATTAGATCATGGATTTTCATTTTCTTTTTTCAAATTTTCGATTTCCATTTCGCTATTTTTGATGGCTTAACTTGATCTAAAATATATAAAGATATAGAAAAAGAAAAAGGATATTTAATAAGAGACGGCTCATTATACAAGATCAAGAAAAACAGGGAATCAAAAATAATTAAAAAGCATGAATTTGAGGGGTTAATGAATTATCAGGATACTTTGCTCCATATTGTATTAGGCATACATGATCACTACTAATTTTCGAATCTAAAATAAACATTTTTCACGCGAACATGTTAGTGACGTTATCATATTCATATACCTACAACACTACTGCATTGTTTTTACTAATATAAAATGACCATGTGACAGACGCATACTAGTGCAAAATTATGTAACCAAAGCGAAAAGGACATAGTAAAATGGCTATTTTTAAGGTTATTTACTCCAATCTAACTTACGGAGTATGGAGTTAACAATAAAGTCAAGATATACAAATGCTTTGTTAATACATATTTGAAATACAATTCCAAAGAAAACACTTTTTCCTGGATACATGTCACAACTCTGGATACCATATTCGGGCTCTTGTTTTTGAACTGCGAGGTGAAAGATAAAAAAAATTTAGAATAATTTACACAGTATTGCATATCAATTTCGAAGATGTAGTTAAAAAGGACAAAGTTCACTATGTGAACAAACTTTATTTATGCATAACTACCCCAAAATAAAAAATCTGGATACGCAGTAATGTGGTGCAGTAACAATCATTTTCTTAAGACTCAAGCAAATGACACGGTCAACATTACTATCAGACAAATTCAGTCTTATTTATTAAATTCTATTATATCCAGCAATACCTTTTTAGGCAAGTGATGGCCTTTCTCATGAAGTTGTTTAACTTCAGCACCAAACCTTTCTAATCACTTCTTTTCGTTAATTATTTTCCACCTACTCGCATTCTCGATAATTGCAACAAATGATTTCAATTCTCCATCCAATTTATCTATTAATAACTCCAATGATTCGACACAAATCGATGTAGTCCTAAATAATTGCTTGACCATTTCTTTGTGTAATGTTTTGTATGACCACATCTCCATGCGTATAACCACAGGCATGTATCTTCTCCAAGCACAATAATAGATCTAGAATTATTTGGAAAATTGTGTAATCATCTATATTATCGTAATCAGAAATCCATGATTCTAGGAGTTATCCCGTAAAATCGGTTAGTAAAGCCATAGTTCCACCCATTGTATAACCTTCGAAGAGAATTGTAGGAACGCAAGAAAGATCACCTAGTGCATGCAACGCTGACATTTCACGGTAAATTTGAGAGATTTCACTGTCTTTGAGAACTTAAATCTTTAGATAAAAAAATGACCCACATGGTAAGTTTATTATAAGCAGTATGAAAAATTATCAGGAATTAATTTACCTTCAAAACGGCATCCCTTATTTCATAATCATGTACTTATGCTAAAAAAACTATACACTTTTTTCCATTTCCAAGGCGAGATGTAATATGCACATGAATACAATTTCCAGAGTATAATCTGATATAGATACCCTCTTTGATGAAAGAAGCCAAAAGACTTTTGGGAGAAATTAATGATTTATTTCTTCTATACATATACGTTTCATCATTATTTTGAGATTCACCAGAAGTACTTGTTAACAGGTCATCACAATAATGAAGAATTATGCTGGTAATTAAAATAAAAAAATGTGCCTACTTAAAACATAAGACAGCTTTGTTGGCTATACATAAAAATGACGGGAAACTTCTTTCAATTTTTTTGATCTAGTTTGGACCATGGTTTAGAAGTTTTACGTAAATACAACAAAAACGTAAAAATACAGGAAACAGACTCACGTATATACTTATAAGTATTTAAAGCGGAAACTGATTTGAAACTTCGCAATCATGTCATGTGTTACGTTATCTCGTTCAGATTTTTGATCGGGTTGAACAATTTTGATCACATGCTAGGATTGGTTAATGGATTTTTATCAAAAACCTGATTAGTGCTTCAGGCCTACATCTGCTGATTGCCTGCTTTAACTACTTTAAAGTATAATGATAGCTCAAACATCGAAACACTAAACAGGCTTATTATGTATCATAAATTATTTAACTTTTCAATAAGACCGAATCATACGAGAAAAGTTCATCTCAAGAATTCGGACACAAATGATGATTGTTCACACAAACGTCAACGTGGACAATGAAGAAACAATGCCCCTTCCACAGTACGTCAAAGATTATTTCAACAGAGTGAAGTTTTCTGAGTAGAAACTGTTACATTTTTTACATTATACGGAAAAATCACGATCAAATAGCTGGTTAAAAGATCAAATATTACATACTTTCAAAACAGGATTGAATGATGTGGTGGAGAAAATGTCTGATAAAAGAAATAGACCTACAATTTTTAGATCCAGAGTCGCGTTGGAAGTTGCTGACATGACAAAGCCTCGAAACCTGGCTGGTGCGAAACTATTTATTGGCAAAAAGCTCTTAGAAAATAAGAGAACTAAGGTAAACTGATTTTAAAGTAAGATAGGAGGAAGAAACTTCACGTAGTGTGGAAGGTCTCCAGCCACCTTTGCAGAAACAGATGCTTGTTCTTGTGTGAATGGTCTGAACAACCAGCTGTCTAAGACAAGGAAGCACACATCTATCGCTATAGCGACGTAGTGCTTCTGCTGGCAGGACTTATACATGGTGCATAGGTTCCTTTCTTCTACAAGAGGTATAATGGTAGGTCTCCATATCACTCTGCCTCCCTGCGGTTCGTCTGCAGTGTTGTATAGTTTGTCCACGTGAGTAACCCCAAACTAAGGACGCCCGATATCTGAAGGCAAAGGAGTGTGCACATCCACTCTTTTTATCCTATGCCATATACCAATATTATTTCTTACTTTAGATATATACTTTCTATTTGTATTCAACACGTGACTAATCATACGTTTTTTTTTCAAGTACGAGTCTGATGAGGTTGAATCTTATTGGCAAACTGTACGAGCAAAGATGGCAATTAATATTGCAAAAAGCCATCATAAACTTCAGAAGGTCTTCCAAAAAACTGTTAACCTCCTTTGTGAAGGGGAGTCGAGAAAGGTATATTATCATTTCCTTACGAATTGTAATTAACAATCTTTTTAACTTGATTATATTTATCCAGCGAATGAGACCAGATGATGAGGTGTTTTCGAATAGTAAAGACTGCAAGGATGATGATAAAATCAATTCACACACAGTATATGAAGTCAAGGTTTGTTGATAGGCTATGATTTTAGGCTTGATCAATCAAACTGATTGTTCAATGTAATACTAGTATTGGCAGGAGACCGAAAATTCCTCTGGCAATGAATCTGATGATAACCAGAATGACGAAGTACCCAAGGATTGCTTAAGAAATTGGATGGATAATGAGGATGATGAACTGGAGGTGCATGCTAAAGAGACCATTTAGAACGATGAAGGAAAATGGATTATATCTGGTATCAATGTACGTGGCGCATTATTAAAGTGGAAAGAAAAAACCAGACCACATAATGAGTAAGTATTTCTGTAAAATGTTTTTAATATGTGGAAAGTTTGAACATACCTGGCGTATTAATATTGAAAAATCTTTAGTTTAGCATTTTATGATATTGTAGATGTCACACCAGAGTCTAATAGTGACTTTATATGATCACTTCCTAACGATGTGGTGCGTGAGATGAGACGGTTGAAGCTATTGCCGACACCTGTTATCAACAATGCAGACAGAATAAAACAATATATCATTGGTTTTATTAAGGCATTAAATATTCTGTTGCTTTCCTCCAAGATTCCTAAATTAATTTCTTACAATATAGACAAAAAATTTTCGTAAATATGTCGATGAAAGCTATGCAAAAACACGAAATAACAATATTATGAAATTTGTATAGAATTATTTGAATCTCCTGTAAGAACATTTTAATAAATGCATCTCTTCAACTTTTTATGTCTTACATTTAAGGATAGGTCCGCAAATGATTTTCAAATTCCGCAATATTGCGGATTTTGGAGTTGAATTGCGGTTAGTAGCCTGCAATTCCGCAATTCTAATTGCTGCCTATAACTGTCAGTTTTGTATATTTATAAAAACACTGGAACTATGGGTTCTGGCGTTTTCTTTTAATTTTTTTTTACATAAAAACGTTGGAACTATGGGTTCTGGCGTTTTCTTTTGATTTTTTTACATAAAAATGCCGGAACTATGAATTCTAGTGTTTTCTTTTGATTTTTTTCACATAAAAACGCTGGAACTATGGTTCCAGTGTTTTCTTTTGATTTTTTTCACATAAAAATGCCGGTACTATAGTTCCAGCGTTTTCTTTTGATTTTTTTCACAGAACTATGGTTCCGGCGTTTTCTTTTGATTTTTTTTATATAAAAATGCCAGAACTATGGTTCCAGCATTTTCTTTTAATTTTTTTTTACATAAAAGTGCCGGAACTATGGTTCCAGCATTTTCTTTTGATTTTTTTCACATAAAAACACTGGAACTATGGTTCCGGTATTTTCTTTTGATTTTTTTCATATAAAAATGCCGGTACTATAGTTCCGGCATTTTCTTTTGATTTTTTTCACATAAAAATGCCGGTACTATGGTTCTGGCATTTTCTTTTGATTTTTTTACATAAAAATGCTGGAACTATTTCTGGCGTTTTCTTTAATTTTTTTTTACATAAAAATGCCAGAACTATAGTTCCAGCGTTTTCTTTTGATTTTTTTTACATAAAAATGCCAAAACTATAGTTCTGGCATTTTTTTTTAATTTTTTTTATATAAAAATGCCAGAATTATGGGTTCCAGCATTTTTTTAAATTATTTTTTATATAAAAATGCTGGAACTATGGGTTCCGGCATTTTTTTAAATTATTTTTTATATAAAAATGCTGGGACAATAAGTTCCAGCATTTTTTTTAAATTTTTTTTTATATAAAAATACCGGAACTATAAGTCTCGACATTTTTATAAATTTTTTATGTAAAAATGCTGGAACTATAGGTTCCGGCATTTTTTTGACTTTTTTTTATTAAAAATGCCAGAACTATTGGTTCTGGAGTTTCAATTTTTATTTTTTTTTATATAAAAATGCCAGAACTATTGATTTCAGCGTTTTTTTTTAATTTTTATAAAAACGCTAGAACTATTATTTCTGGCATTTTTTTTTTATTTTTTTTATTAAAATTGCCGGAACTATTAGTTCTGGCATTTTTTTTTGCAGTTATAATAAGAGAAAATGCCGTTTCTGGCAGTTTTTCCAAATTACTGATCCATTTTTTTCTAAAAAAATAAAATCATTTTTTTTTAAATTTTGTTAATGAAAAATGATTTTTTTTTATAATTAATAATAAAAGGAAATATATTTTTTAGTAGTTAAATTAAAAAAGAAAATTTCTAAGTTTACACGAGATGTTTGTACACGGGTCATATAAATATAATTTTTAATAGACTAATTTTTTGTTTTTTAATTTGAAATTAAATGCTACTAACATTATACTCTTTTACTTTTTATTCTTATTATATTACAAATAAATATATGTATTTTCACCTGCTTTGCAAGTTTACTTAAGGCATTAAAGGAGGTTTTGAATAGGACCTGGAAAACTATATATAAAGGTTACCGCCAAAAAATCAAAAAAAAATAGGAGTGCGAACCATAATATGATTGGTTGTTTTGCTGTTTACTCACATGTTTCTATTTCAAATATAGTAATAGGGCCAAGAAAGGAAAGATTTTCACAAAAAAATTCTTATTGTTGCGAACCAACACGTGACTTTTACTAATTAATTTGGCGGTGACCTTTTTGAAAATTAATTATAGCCTCGAATCATGTTTGGCGGTAACCCCTATTAGAAGTTTTCCAGGTCCTTTTTGAATGCTGTTTTTAATCTACTAATATGACCTGTGTTTAAACACCCGTGTACAAATAGAAATTGCCATTAAAAAATTATATTTCATTAAAAAAAAAAATAGTTTTTTTTGTGGACATTCCACAAATCCGCAACTATTCTGCAATCCCGCAAATATTCTGCAATTGAATTGCGGTACTTTGGATATTTGCAGATTTGCAGAATATTTGCAGGATTGCATATAATTGCAGATCTGTGGATTTTAGATTTAAAAATCTGCAATGTTCCACAATACCGTAAATCGCAATTATTCCGCAATTACATATTTGCAGCACCATTCTTAGTTATCATGATTGTTATAATATGGTAATATATTTAATGCAGAAAATTTCGAGTCTGGAATACTGATTATCAACCCAGATTAAAGATGGTCATTGGTCCTACCGGTCCTACTCAGTTTCAGGACTGCCAGTCTTAAGACGGATCGCGGTCTTTCGGTCTTTTTAATCCTGCTGCTAATTCAGGCTGAATTTATAGTGCCGGCCAGAATTACAAGTAAGGGTAATACAAAAAATTTTGTGTTATAATGACAGAACCAGTAAAAAAATTTTTTGCCTGGTGGTTAAACTATTTATCCGGGATCACGTGATTGCCATATTTAGTAATTCTGGCTGACACTATATATCTGGCCAAAATTAGCCTAGGACTAAAAGACTGCGGTCCTACGCGAGACAGACTGGTCTGTCTTTTTGGGGTGTAGAACTGGTAAAACCACGATCTTCTAGGACCGGTGACCATCCTTATCCAAAATGCTAATTTTCAGCTCAGAAGATTTTGCTGAATCACAAATTGTGCAACAAAAATCTGCAGATCACATAATAAGTCTGTGCAACCAGGTAGGTCTGTGTGACATAATAATTTTCACATATATTCTAAAAAGAAGCTAACTAGTACCTCTATTTTTTTCCTGAACAAACATGAGAAAAATGGCCTGCTTCACAGGCGCTTCATTCGCTTGAAAGAAGGTCTAGTTACAATACAGGACTAACTTCAAAAGTAAATAGTTACAGTAAAAGCATATGTTATGAAAGGCTGAGGACTTTGGAATTTCGAGATCTACAAGAACTAACTACCTTTGCGTCTCTCTGGTAGATCTCCATGTGAAAAGGTATGAAGATTCCATTTGCATGTGCCTTCAAAGAACTCTTGGCATCATACAACAATGCTAATCACTATTCTTATCTCCTTAACTTCAGCTTGGCGCTCTTTTTCCCAGTCAGATATAAAGCATGTAGGGTATGTGGAAATTTAGCCAACTTTCTGCAAAAACTTTTCCGTAAAATAATGCAAAATAAAGTATGTATATGCTAGAAGTTATGTATGTATGGGAGCGAGTTTTCTCACTATGGACCTTATATTTAGGAAAGCAAGATGTCTGATAAGACTAAGGAATCTGATAAGACCAAGACTCCTGACAAGCTTGACAAGTTTCTCGCTGGTGGGGATATTACTCTCAATTGTCTCATTTCTGACGAGGAAGTGAACGATATTTTTGAAATAATGATATCTAATGCTAACAACAATAGTGTCTCTTCTCTCGCGAAGGCAATCAGAACCTGTCATCTAGATCGATTTCAAGATATAGATTTAACCAATTTGGCTTTATATAGGGTCGCATTTATAGCTGATAGTGTCATAATTAACAGCTTAAGAAACATCAGTGAATTTGAAGTAGAAGGTGCAATAAGAATCGAACTGCAAGACACCATTTTTACTCATTTTTTATACAACCCAAATGTATCTTTGGTGGTAAAAAGGGAATCAATGTTATCGTGTACCCTCCCGCTGAAAGGGTGCTGGAAGTACTAAGCAAAGATAATTAGATTTTTTTATCTATATTTCATTATCATGTAGCAATAGGCCTGAGTCACGAAGTATAGTCGCAATTTTTATGTATTGTAGATCAGGTTCCGGCAACGTTTTATTTCATAAATAAAGTATTATTTTATCGAACGTATATGAGAAACGGGTCATGTGTGATGATGCAATGCCTGTGCTACATAAAAACCTATATTAATGGCCAGTATTCCCTATAAAAAATTTTTATCTGAATATTTCCATTATTTCTCCATGTCTTTTGTAAAAATTCTGTGAAAATGATACATTCACGGATATCCGTGTTAGCGAGATGAAAATTTCCATAATTTAAGGCTATTAATTCCATGAAAATGATACATTCACAGAAAAAACATGAAAAGATAAAATATGGATCAGATTTTTTATAGGGATTCTCTTTCCCATCCCAGAAATAAAATTTTATCTCACTTCGGAAAGTAACACTATTTTTTTGTCTGAGTCAAATATCCCTATAAAAACGTAACACTATATCTGAAACTAGTACACCTTATACTCCAGCTTCCAATTCCATTACTGTTGCTGAAAATGAGACAGCCTCGCTGGCTGATGAAATTAAAAAATATGACACAGCCAAGCTTATAGATAAACCTTGTGAAAGATGACTTTGATATAATCGAAATGAGAGAGTGGGTTGGCAAGACTTCTTCGACTTGACTCAGAAAGAACTTGAGCAACATGGAATGAAATTAGGACCAGCTAAGAGACTCGTGAAGTTCGCTAAGGAGTGTAAAGATAAAAAGTTGAGGTTATTCTCCTTGTACAAAACTAAGAAAGAGTTGAGTGAGGTGTTGGAGAAATATGGAATTGTTAGCAGGGATATAACTCGCATTCCACAGTTCATACCACGTAAGTAATATCAGATTAAAGGAGTTCTTTTTTATATATTTCGAGCTCACATATCATAATATAGCCATCCACACTATCAACGAAAGCGCTCCCGAATTTAAGCTATGTATTGATGACATCCTTTGTAGAATAAAAAATATGGATCCAGTTGTAGATAGTAACGAAGCTATGCAGTGCGAGTATATTTCAACGATCTTACATACAGCTGTAAGTATTCTCGGCGACTTGGTAATCACACCTCAGGCAAATATAATTGGTGAAGAAAACACAGGCTGTGTCGACTATGCCATCAAAAAAATTATCAGCGAGATGCTGAAGGATAAGGTTGCTTGCCGAAACCTAGGGGTTTAGGCAAGATGGCATTTTGCCGAAAAGTGAAATTCTGCCAAAACTATATTAAAGTTATATTAAAAAACTGGCGAAACTTTGGAGAAAGGCGAAACTGCCGAAACTTATTATAAATGCCAAAACTGCCAAAACTCTGCCAAAACTATAATAAATCTATAGTAAAATTTTGACGAAANCAAAACTCTGCCAAAACTATAATAAATCTATAGTAAAATTTTGACGAAACTAATCGTAGGATTTTGAAGAGGTTTAGACAAGCAACCTTACTGGAGGAAATAATTTGCATAACTGAAGGCAAACAGAATCAAGCAACTATAGGTATCTGCCAAAACTTACTACAATGCCGAAGTGCTTGCGATATAAATATGACAAATTCTACTAGCTCGCTTGCTATAGGATGATCATGGGCTATTGCTAACTTACTTTTCTATTTCCCTCAGATGAATATAAATATGAAAAAGAAAAAAAGAAAGGTGGATGATGAATTCGATCCAGACTACGACTACGTCTATGGTATAGTCAGTACTGGAACTGACTGGTACTTCATTCTTCACAGCACTGAAGGTATCTATAGTACAAGCAGGACTGAATACCGAATTTCACTAACAGAAGACATTCTCAAAAATGATACAAAATTGCGTAAGAATGTGAAGAGGGTTTTAGAAGTGATCGTAGGATTATTAAAAGATAGAGCAATAGGTAGTGAGGAACCCGCAAATAAGAAGCGCTGTGTAGAAGAGATAATCAAGAAAAAATAATTGTATATAAGACTAGCATAGACGTCATGTATCGGGTTAGCTTGCTAACCAACATTTGTATTTATTTTTCGCATGTAATAATAAAAAAATTTTTTGGCAAAAACTGTTCCCTTGGGGAACGACCAGCTGAAATAACCTATATATTTTACTTGACTGTTTCTATATATACTAACGAACTTTTGAATATTTCCGTTCTTGTATAAAATTTATCGATGTCAAACACTCAATCAAACGATTCATTAAGGGAATTAAATGCCAAGCTCTTAGCTGAGATTGGCGAACTTAGGAAGAAGTTTGCTGAGATTAAGGTCAAAAATGATGAGCTTAAGGATAAGAATATCAAGATACCTGAACTTAGAAGGAAGTTTGCTGAGATTGAGATTGAGAGAACTGAACTTAAGGCCAAGATTGCCAAACTTCTAAAACAGGGTGTGAAAGAGAACAAGAGGCATATGCTGAGAATGCCAAGCTCAAGATCAGGATCGAGGAGTTGGAGAAAAACAAGACAGATTCTTCAGCTAAGAATGTTAGGTGTAATGTTGAGATTACTGAGATTAAGGCTGAAATAGTGAAACTAAGGAATAATAACAAAGAAAACAAAGAGCTAACCTTCCTTCAATCAGATAATATTTCTAAGGAAATGGTTTCATGAAATGGCAGAACAATAATACTATAGATTTGAACACTAACACAATGAATTCAAATACTAGCGAAGCACCTTTTGGTAATATTCAGGTATCTGATTCTGTAGTAGACCAGCTAAATAATGAAGTAGGACGAGCAGTTACCTCTGGTGACGCATTTAGTGATAATTCCAACACTGAGTCATTGAAAGATAAGAAAATGGATGATTTCTTGGATGAGGTGCATAAGAAAAAGATTAGTGATGAGATTAGAGAGAGAAAGCAAGAGGAGAAACTTCATCGTGAATCGATTGCTCAGGACTCACTTATTTCTCGCAATATAAAAACTGTTTTCTCAGGGAATGATCAAAGTCATGTGACTTCAAAAACTGAAGTATCTGTGGAGCAAGACGATGACATGATTCCAGAGGAATCGCTTGATGAAAATCAAATCGTAGAACAAGGCCTAATACATGAATTATATTCATCCTTATCACCTGAAGATAATGTCAGCTCTACCAAAATCATCAGCTCTTGCGTTAGTTTAGAGAATTTGATTTCAGGTTCTGCCCAACACTTATCTTATTTATTTGAAACAGCAATAAAATCCAGTCAGCAGGAAATATTAGACTGGTACAATTATTCCTTTGAATTTGAGAGCAAGGTTGATGCTCTTATGGCTGATGGTAGAATTAAGGATAAAACGGTAAGATCAATGATTTACAAGGAAATGAAACCATTTCTCCCTACTAAAATCACACAAGCTAATTTGCGCAAGAAAACTCATAAGGCTAGAAAACATCTTATGTTATTTGGGAAAAATGGGATTGGACTAGATAAAATTAAGCTAGTCTCATATAGCGCAACTGAGATTTCGAAACTGACTAATGCACAAATCCAAAATGTCATAGATCAAGTAAAAAAATATACTAGTGATCATCAGAGTCATATGACTTTAATAAAAACTGTTCCTTCAGAGAACGATCAGATTAAGGCTGAGGTAAGTACATCAGCAAATGTATTATCTATATCTTCCTCCAGTCAATCTAAGCCAACTTATGACCGATCCTATTTTTGCAACAAGACATTGGATCAATATCCAAATTTATATAGAGAATTTAGTAGTGAAAATTTTGATTATTATGGTATTACCAATGAGACATCATGCCCATTATGCAAGTTAAAGCATGATGATGAGGAAAGCATAGAGGGTACATATAAAACTGGATCTTATTTTATTAAATGTGAACAGCGTGAAATTGAAATAGTTGCCTAGTCAGGTCACTTTGTGACTACATTTGCTTTATTATTATTTTTTTACACCTGTCAACTATTACCTAATTAGATTGATTTGCAATTATAGAAAAAGGCAACATGGCCAAGTCCGATAAAATATTAACTCCCAAATATCTGGATTGGCATGCCAAATTAACTGGTTTGCCAAGTATTTTGACAGATAAGATTCGTTCCAATTTATACAAAAAATATAAAAAAGAAACTGGGTATGAGCCATGGCAATTATCAGAAGATTGCCTTCTCATAAATTTGAAGCCAGAAAATAAAGTATCCTATTTATCTTCTTCTGAGCAATGTGAAGAAAAAGGGCCTATAACTTTTGAAGTCAGACCTGATCCAGAATTAATTATCAAATCCGTCTTAGAGCACTTCCCATACTTGAAATTCAGAAATAGTTTCAGAGGGATTGATAATTATGATTTTACATCACCTCAGCCGTGGAGCTCACCATACCCTATCTGCGATGGAAAGCATGGGAATTATGGATTACATGGCGAATGGCATAGAAATGGAACAGAATATTGTCTTACCTGCAACAGTTCAAGTGATAAATTCAAGTTCGCATTCGTAGCATAGGCTGATCATGTGAGACCGATCACCTGAAAAAACGGTGTATTTTATTTTTTTTTATTTTTTTTATAAATTAGTTCCACTAGTGTCCAGTGTCCACTCTAGTGTCCCACTAAATTAATCTGTGCGACAATAGATTTTATATAAATATGTAAAAAATTGGTGGCGTTACTATCGTCCGTAGTATGTACAAAAAAAAAATTATAAGATATATACCAAATTCGTCATGTCTATTCCCATTGATCCTACTGCAACTAAAAAAATTGCTTTCTTGTTTATTATATTACTTCCTCTCGTATTCTTTGTTTTTCTTTTTGTAAATTGCACAATTATTGAGCTCGTTCCAATTTGGCTTCCATTTGCAGTCTCGTTTGCTGGGTATAAATCTTTTCCAAATAAATATATAATAAACACGTACTGTACTGTCAAAAGCATTCATACTAAGATCACTTAACGTCTGTCTTTAGGAGTCAGGTGTCAGCTATATCTCGAGTAATCCTGTCAATTGATTTTAGAATAGCCAGCCTCTTTAGACTTTTTATTTTATCTCGAGTAATGGGATCTCTTAAGCCAGTTCAAAATCTACCTGAAACGTCTCAAACTCTCTCAAAGTATGAAGATAGGCCTGGACAAATAGAAACGTTTCTTGGTAATAAAACTTTTATTTCTTGAATAGCATAATGGCAATATATATAGTAGTGTCTTGATGTTTATTTTCTTGATCTATTTATAGCTTATACGAATAATAACTTTAGCTGGCCCCCCTCAATGCCGGAATATATGAGGAGATATTGTTTCCACCAGATCACTGGTACCGGGTCTAATATTGATGTTCAAAGTAGGCGCGACATTATATTCTTTTACAACGCACTCGAAAGAGGGAATTCTTAGATCACAAAAATGATTGGGTGACCGTATACAACCAGGAAATAAAGGCATATGGAAAAGAGTATAGCGACGATAAATTGAACCACATTTTCAAAGAGATGCCTGGTGCCATACAACTTCCAGTTAATCAGAAAAGTCTGCCACGCAGTAAAAAAAGAAAGATGGTAACTACTAAGCGTGTCATTGATAATGGGTGTGATTACAAGGTTTGAATTGTAAATTAAAATTAAAAAATTAGGGTTTAAAACTTTAATTATAAGTTTTAGTACACATTAAAGAAACTTCTGACCAGGTAACTAGCCCTATTGAGGTTGTTAGCACTACACCTGGTAATCCCGAAAATTTGGATGACTTGATTTCGAAGGAACTCTCTAGCAGACAAATCCAACGCCCTATACAGTGACTCTCAAAAGATTTGCATCACCGAAAAAAAAATTTTTAATTTTTAATATCTCATGAGCTAATCATAGTTAACGACTGAAATTTAAAAATCTAAAAATAGAATACTCGAGCTATCTAAATATAAAGTTTCGCGTTAATTGATTGGCTGGTTCTCTAATCACATGACATTTAATCCAAAAGCCTTGATGCATTTCTTTTGATCGGGGTTGATCTTCTTCAAAAATTAAATTTTTACAAGAATTAGCCATACTTTTTATGATAAATTAAGTGACAAATTAAGTAATATATGACTAATATTATTAAATAATTTTAAAAAAATTTAGCAATTCCAGTAATTTGTTCTTTATTTATTTAAATAATATACACAATAATTACTATGTAACTTATAAATTTGGTATAAAGTTTATTGCAAATAAAATGTTAAGGAGAATTCCTATGACAAAACCATAGCAAAATTTAAATTCTCCTTGTTAAGAGGATTAATCAGAGCTAAATTTCGCACATATCAGACCAATAGATGCGCAGAAATTAAGTGTTAAAAATAACCAATAATTTTCATTTTACATATGAGGTAGATCATTTTAATATGTAAAATGAAAATTATTGGTGATCTTTAACACTTAATTTCTGCGCATCTACTGGTCCGATATGCGCGAAATTTAGCTCTGATTAATCCTCTTAATAAGGAGAACTTAAATTTTGCTATGGGTTTGTCATAGGAATTCTCCTTAACATTTTATTTGCAATAAACTTTATACTAAATTTATAAGTAACATAGTAATTATTGTGTATATTATTTAAATAGATAAAGAACAAATTACTGGAATTGCTGATTTTTTTTAAAATTATTTAATAATATTAGTCATATATTACTTAATTTGTCATTTAATTTATCATAAAAAGTATGGCTAATTCTTGTAAAAATTTAATTTTTGAAGAAGATCAATCCCGATCAAAAGAAATGCATCAGGGTTTTTGGATTAAATATCATGTGATTAGAAAACTAGCCAATCAATTAACGTGAAACTTTATTTTTAGATAGCCTGAGTTTTCTATTTTTAGATTATTAAATTTCAGTCGTTAATCATGATTAGGTCATGAGATATTAAAAATTAAAAATTTTTTTTTCGGTAATGCAAATCTTTTGAGAGCTACTGTATGTGAGAAATGCTTTGAAGAAATTTCCATAGAGTTTTCAAAAGACACCGTCTTTTTATCCTGCAATCATGCTGTGCATTTAGATTGCATTAACGATCTACGAAAAGATGTTCTACCTGTACTTCAGCCGATGATATGGAAACTGATGATTTGAGAACCCTGGGTTCGAGTGATCGATATGCTGAAAAAATGACCTAATGATTCAGACGAATCAACCAAAAAATCGTCTAGCAAGAAAGTGAAAAAGGCAGGTGAGAAGAAAGTATCAGGTACGCTAAAAAAACTTATTGAAAAATTATTCTCTGAAACATCTCAGGATTCTGAAGTTATAGAAAAGGGAACTGGGGATTTCTTTTATCTGTACAATACAATCATTAATATGGAAGGGGAGGAAGAGATTGCAAAACAAAATGTCATCAAATCATATTATAATTTTGGAAAAGCACTTGAGGATCATTATGATCATTACAAGAAAAATAATCCTAAGCGAACAGCTCAGGCATTGGTAAATAAAGAAGTTTGAAATCAGCTTCCAAACTCAGTTAGTGATGACCTATTTCAGAAGAAAAAAGAATGGGCTCTAAAGATTTATGATCTCTTTAGTGAAATAGGCGAGCATATGATTCAAAGGATAAAATCTTTCTCAGTAGCATCTATATCAAAATTAAGCCAGAATGATATCGACCATATCTTGGTTAGGTTTGCAAAATAATATTTACTGCGCCACACATGTGACGTTATAAACTCAGTTCACATTCTCTGAAATAAATTTTAGCCGTATATAATAATAAAGTTCGCCCATATCGGGCTTTTCTCCTTTTTTAATCTCCTAATGTTTTTTAATCAATGTATGCTACTTGCAAAATGATGTATGATTTGCGTGATAGTCTGTATAATTTTTTTACAGGGCCGATCATCTCGTGATTTAGCCAGGCCAGAGGCGTTCTTCGAATAAGGCGCTGTGCATAGAAACTCGCTAGCTCCTGGAACTCTTCTAGAACTATCAAGGAACTGGCAGGAAACTAGGGAGATCTCATGTGATACGATATTTTGTATATCATGTCACAAACCAATTTAGCTGAGCCATTAAGGCACTTTGTAAGGCGCTGTGCATATGCATATATGTAAATATAAAATTAGCTTAGCCGAGAGATGGTCCTATATAAATCCCGGTATGCTTGTAATCGAATAAAAATGAATTTGGATTTAGTAGTGTGTAGTCTCTCTAAATCGGCTACAAATCAATAAAGTCGGTATAAACCATTAAAACTGCTATAAATCTTTTAACCAGTAAATCTAAATAAAAATGAATCTGATATTTATTTGAGTATACTATTGCTAAATTGGCTAAAATTGCTAAAAACAGTATAAATCAATAAAATCGTTATATTCTGTTATAATCTACCAAAACGCTAATATGGATTTAGATAGTAAAGCCTATTCCAAGTTAATTCATGCACACAATAGTATCAGATGCTCTGAAGAATAAATAAGAATTATTGTTGCTATAATCTCTTTAGCAGAAAGACATGATCATGAAACACCAGAAATGTGATGCTCTCGTATTCGTGATCCATTTAGGAAAATACTAGAAGAGAACCCAAGAATCCTTTCTAAGAATGGATATATTACAATTTATGGAGAGCTATATGTAGATGATAGGATTCATAATTGTCCAACCAATTATATATATTGCAGTGTATGTAACTCCTTAGTTTTCACACCTGCAAATAGTCTTTTTGAGGATCGCTATGGAGATAACCACTTGAAGAGATGTATTTCTGGAAATACTATTTCGAATGAACATGCAAAAAGAAATGAAATTCTTAAACCTATTAATACAAGGGAATTTCAGATCTGGCAATATAAACAATACATATTACAAGAAGAGGCTAAAATTAATCGTCTCCATCTAGAGCTTTTCTCCCAATCTACCTTACACTCAGAAAAGGATAAGTTGGCCTCGGTATCATATGATTATGTTACTCGTTCAGTCAGCTATAAAACTTACCTTTCAGCCAAAGTAACTATAGCAGAAAATACTATGCCAAGTGCTCCAAAATTTGAGCCAGCTTATATTTCACCTGCCAAGCAAGAAATGATTTCACTAACTTTTTATCAGTTATCGAATTGCAAAAATGATACAGGCAGAATATTTATCTCGTCTCGGTATGCAAAACAGCCAAAAGGCACTGCGTTGAGATTAAGGGATGGAACACCAATTACAATTGTCTAACTGACTTGACTGATTCCGAGAAATATCTTAATTATAGACTATTGCTTTTAACTGAAAATTAATATTATTTAGCCAAAGGTGCAATGTATAACTTATTCTTTATTTTTTACGCTAAATAATCTGCATACATGATCCCTAGTAAAATTGGTCAAAGACGCTATACATGAAATGTATCACCTGCTGAATTTTCCAGATTAATCCTTAACCCAGATCCCAAATATTGCCTTAATAAAATAATATATTGTCCACACCTTATAGCCTAGGCATGTGTGACATAAATTTTTGATCCATCTAGCATGTTTCTTCTTATTTATAAAAAGGCCATAAATGTATTATTTGTATTATAATAAAACTGACCCTGGTGGTTTATTTTTTGAAATTCCATGAAATTCCATATTTTTTGCGTAATGTATAAATATATAATGGTATTTAACCAGGCATATTCTGAATTGCTAGCAAAATTACCAGCTTCCCTAATAAATGAGGCATGGATTCGTATCATATCACGGAAACATAAACCATTATCTGAGAAAGAGGCCAGTGAAATTAATCCAATTGTAGAGTTGTTTTTAAAACATGAAGCTATTAGATATTAGAAAAGATTAATGCGCCAGAGACGAACCCAAAGTTGGCTGGAGTGCTTAACATCATTCAAAAAAATACCATTTATATTTGTCTCAGATAATGATACTCAAACTGATAATATCACTTGGCCGGAGGCGCTAAAGTATAATCACGAGGAAGAGAATAATCGCTGGGTTATGAATGAGCTTAAAGTACTATCCCAGCACCTGCTCGATTATAATAAAAGAACTTTTGAGAAGTTCATGCGAGATGTAAATCTAGAGTACAATGAATGGGTTAATGCAAATAAGAAAATGCGCTATGAGATCAAAGATCGTGCAGGAGGCGGAAAAAGAGCTGGCATCTAAAATTAAAGATACAATAAGTATCCATAATATCCTATTAAGAACAAACATTTTTTATAAAAAATTTTTTTTAATGACACTTGAATTTATAAAAATTTTCATTTAAAAGAAGATTATATTTATGGTAAACAAGAATTCATCCGCCCCTTGATAATTGTCCTTACAAAAATTTCATATTGTAACATATGAAGTTTTAATTATTTCAGAATCACGTGAAATTTAGTCTACTTTTAGGAATCGTATGATCAAAAATATAATTCAACTGAAACAAATTTCTTAATTAAGAAGCGACTAGTTAATGATCAATACCAAAATTGAACACAATGATTCTTAACCATTTACTTAAATTCTTAAAATGGTTACGTTATGTCTTAAAAAAAGGGTTTAGTTTAGCTTCATCTATTACACAAAACTTATAATCAATAAGACGTTTAGAATTTTTTGTTCAGGAAAGTGATTTCCATGCTTAGTATAAATTTTTTGTTCTTATTGATAGTGACACATCTAAAAATGGAAAACAAGGAGAGAAAAAGTTGTGTTACCATATAAAGACGATATAATTATTTACATTAAATGTACCATTACTACCATAAATGAGTATTATGAATTATTTATAGGAATACGTATATCAAATTTTTTCAGTGGTCTATTGCATTATACCATATACAAGATTACAGGTAATCCACTAGACAAAAAACCGTTAACAATATGCTAATTGTTTTTTAAATTATTGAACAGAATTTTTTTGCTTTTTTTTAAAAATGTTTATGACAAATACTAATTTTGCTTGTAAAGATGTATGAATAGAATATTTTGAATATTTTTGAATATAAAATCTAACATAATTACATACAACTATTTTTTTAATTAAAAATTCTTATATTGTGTATTCCACATATTTAACGTCCAGTGATGGGAAAGAACACTGGTGACCAATTAGTAAATATGAGATAAAAAATAATACGACAGATTGAAATTTGAGTCTGATGTGCGTCAAATTAATTTATCATTTATGTATTAAATTAAAATGCATATTTTATTATTTGTGTGTCAAATTAAAATACATACTTTAAAATTTATAATATTAGAGCAATTTTAAAAATCTTTGTAATTATATGTAAATTCTAAAGTAATGTAATAAATTTATCTGGTACATATTATTAATTTTGAGTTTTGTTATTGCATGATTTTCCACTATGACATTTACTTCCACATCTAGCACCAAATTTTTTACAGCAGCATTTAATTCAGTATTATTTAAATAGTTACGGTATCATTGATTGACTCTGTTACGGTATGATCATTTTTTTACCGGTATGAAGATCCATTTGTGCATCATACTGTACTTACACCTTTGGTTGTATAATATTAATACAACCAAAGTTACAGGTACGGTACAAACTGCCATACAAATATCGTACCTGTATTGTAAATATTGTAAACCGCAGTAATACAATAAATCTTGCCAAAAAATAAACATGTTGAAAAGTCTAAAAGGAAAAATGAAATTAAAATCTATGTAAAAATTAATAAAAAAGATTTCGATTTGTATAAACAGTTGCTAATTTATGTATTAATTATTTTATTTACATTTATTTTATAATATATTGTTACATTAATTATTTTGATTTTAATAATTATTATTCTTCAACTGTAGCATATTAAAATTTGAAATATTTTTTTTTTTAAAAAAAGCTCTACATATTATATTATACATATTAAATCTTATACAAATTTTTAGAATAGCATATTTTATTGATTATTATTTAATTCCATTTCCAACTTTTTAATCTGCAACTCTTTTAATTTTAGATCAATTTCATTCTGTTTGAGTTGCATTTTCCTCTCTTCTAATGCGATCTTGCACTCTTCAATTTCCATTTCAGTGTCATCATCATCATAATCAATCTTTGCCTTTTTTGAAGCGCGTTGCTTTCCTTTACTGGTTGCTCTTTTGGATAGTTTTCTAACTATTTTTTTTTATAACATTAAAATATGATAATACCCATCATAAATAGCAATCAAATCATAAGGTTTATTAC